AATGTTACAACTTGAACAATGAGTCATGACCTTCTTCTTCAATATAGTTGATGTTGGTACTATTGCTGCCTTTATAATATGGACGACCAAAAATCCTTCATGGAATGAAAAGAAACGACACTGTCAGCGTCTATTTTTAATGCAGTTGGGTTATGATCTTGTTGAACCTCACATAGATCGACGACAACAACAACCACAAGCACTTCAAAGAGACGTTCGAATAGCTATGCAAGCAATTTGACAAACAATTACTACTTCACAGCCTGATACGGTTTTATCAACTAGTGTCAGGCGACGTTGTCAACTGTGTCCAAGAGAACGCGATCGAAAGGTCATGACTCATTGTTCAAGTTGTAACATTCCTTATTGTCCGGATCATCATAAAGTCATTTGTAATATGTGTTGTGAAACATTTTTAAGATAAAACTGATTGTAAAAGAATTTTTGGGATGTACAAGATAATAAGTAAATATAGCTACTTTTTTATTAGTTATTCATGCTATAACGTGCTAACTATAGACCACATAGTACCAGCATAGCATATTACTTATAACGCGTATTGTATCTGTTTTACTACCTTGGGGTCCGCACGGACTCCATGTGGACTAGAAGTGATAGTCCTATAGGTGGTCGTGTCAGGGTTAAATCGATAAGAGCAAGAGTTACTGCGTGAGAATTTTAATGAATATATTCGACGTCAGGACAGAACCGTTCAATGACAGCCTGACAACCATTAAAAATACCAGACATACAGGGTGCACCATCATATCCTTGTCCAATGCAGTTGGCAAGTGAAAGTTTAAATAGTTTTAAACATGAAAAAATGTGATCAGCTCTGGTTTCACTAGTTGATGATGTAGTCGACGGAAAGGCAAGAAAATCTTCCCAAATATCATGTGATTGCGGATCGACATATCGAATAAGAAGATAGAGTTGTTTAATGTTCGCTGAATCGGTAGTACCATCGACTATGACAGAATAGAGTGCTGCTGGATCCACACGACAGACAATAGGTGATAAAATGTGTTCATAGATAAGTTTGATAAGTTCATTTTAAATAGATGGGCTGATATATGTTGAATTACGACGTCCTTTTTCAAGATGAGATTGAAGGAGTTAATCGCCAGTGTCAATATGTTGCTTTAAAAGTGAAATGATGTTAGATCTAGATAATATTTCAATGACGTCGAGGTGTTCTCGAATTGATATGATGTACTCACCTAAGAAAACTTGCATTATACAGTTAGTTTTCTGGAAATTGCTACATAGTTATTATACTATATAACCAAGATAAACCAGTAACGATAATCGGCTGACATTCTCTGATCTAATTTGGTCAAATGATTACCGAAATTTCCGGTAATCTCCGATCATCTTCATATATTCGTCAGGCTTTCAATCAGTGATTTAAAGGACATGTCCCTCCGATGTCAGATCTCATTTTGTATCTAATATGAATATCCGATCATAAGCACTTTCGAGATCTAATTTAAAGAATTACTTTCCGACGACGAAATTCGGTAGATGATCACTTTAATTGTGATTAAATTTTCAATCGCTATTTTTTCAGAACAATTCTCTTTGTCTTCGATGTTGAAGTCATCTATCAATCAGTCAACCATTTTTCTGTGATACAAAACTTAATTACCTATAGTTTAACGCTTTGTCATCTCTACTTTACTTCGATATGAGGCTGCCGTTAGAAAACAGTTTTCGACTAGAATCTTTAGAAGGAATTGAAAAAAACTTACCTCCATTACCCCGAAGTGAAACGTTTTGTCATGCACAGGTGATCACTACCTCAATAATTGAGAGAAGTATGGTTTTGTTTTTTTCAACCATTACGATTCTGTTTCAATCAAGCTAACAATCGATATCGAGAAACGGATTTTCGAATGTCCGAACAAAGTAGGTAGCACGTGCGGTAGCAAACTTATGATTTTCTGAACTAACATAAATTTTAATAAGCGTAGAAAAATGTTTCAGTGGTGAAGTCGAGAGCATGGATAGCGAGCGAAGATGATAGTTGATTGATTTTAAGCCAAAGGTGAGAAAAGAGAGTAAGTAGAGCAGAATGCTTCCTCGTAGTACGGGGAATATGACAGAAATGCATGCTGGACCAGTCAGGTAGCCATGAGTCGAGGAATTGTTCCATTTTTTTCCACGTTGATTTTGGAATGTATATTTCTTATCAGGTCGAAATGGTTTTGTGAGAAGTTGGTGTTTATTTTCTTTGATAAGAGGAGTATTTAGCGACAGCTGAAATTCAATATCGTTTTCATGAGTATCTGAACGCGAATCGATAATATTTAAGGTTTGGTTCACGTCAGAAGAATCGTTCTTTTCTGATTCTTCGGATTCAGCACTAATTGATTGAGCAACTTCAAGAGAAACAATTTCAGACTGGTCGGGCTCGGTTTATTCAGAAGAAGATGATGCTATAAGCGCCTTTTTTGTGACGGTAACAAATTTATCAAGTAGCTCATGTTTTCGCTTATCACCAGACATTATTATAAACGAGATATTCATTATAGAATAAAATGTAAATGTCTGTATCGACAATCGCACCGTATTTTATTAGTCTCCTTTATTCAACGGCAAAAAAGTTTGCTGTTCTTGCTCATTCGACCGAGGCATTAGTAATTTCTTTTCATTTATTTGACGGTTATCACGATCATTATTATTTCTATAAAAGTGATGATGACGGCGAGTGTTAATCTGTTCTTTTTCGTTGAACAGTGACAAACGTCACTTTGTTATCTTTGTCGAAAAATGATGACAGTTAATTTATTCTATGTTATGAAGCAATGATAAGTCCTACTTCAAATTTATCGTTATCAAATCCTACCAAACCTAAAAATTCTCTCTCATATGCCTTCGATACTCAGTTATATATATGTTCTTTAAGTTACAGATCACTATTTCGTTGTCAATGCGCGAAATTCCTGATTGTTTTTTCAAAAGACTTTCATTTACACATTGAATTCGTTTTCATCTACTTTTTCTATGTTTTGTTTGTATATTTTTTTCATTCTGAAGTTGTGAGAATCATGCCACCACTTACATCATCAAAGTGTTGGCGGTTTAGCTAAAATTACTTTAGCCATTTCCGTTTAATATGGTCGTATGTGCTCCGAAAGATTGATGAACATTCAGTCACATTTTTCATAAGCGAATTTAAGTGGAATAGCGAGTATTTTGACGGAAAAATACCATCAAACTGATATAATTGTGATCATCGATTTAAGAAATAGAGCGTTGGTTCATCTTTCTGCATCACTTGATTAGATCACAACAAGAGACATTGTATTACAATAACTCCCCTTGGATCTTCGAACATACACGTGTATCAAGATTTTTCGGCGTTGAGCAATTGCTAGCATTTCAAAAAATCCTTGGGCAAGAACTTTTGAATTATTGGACAATTGCCTTATGGCCATACACCTTGCAACGCCACTATAGTGATGACTTTCTACGCTCTATGTAGCTTTCAGAAGTACGTAGATGATCCTGTGAATTGGATGGGAATTTTCGAACAGCAATTGAAATCCTGGGGATACAATGGAAATCCGGAAAATATAAAATTGAACGGTTCCCCTTGCCTTCATAAGACTTTTCAAATATTACCATTAGGAAGTGCATCGAAAATTGAACGAAGTTTTTTCGGAGTCAGTAAAGGCGAATGCAGTTGGTGAAAACAGTGGCAAAATGTCGGTTTCAACAACATGTCCGAAATATAATATTGAGACTTTTAAGATTTTCCATTGGCCTCTGAGAATGAAAAACCAAATATAGAATTTTGTAGAGTGAAGTGTGCTCTACCAATAGTGTATGACCGCTTTTCAACAACCTTTAAATAAGAGCGAAAAATCGAAATACACAGTGCTTGAAAAATTCCAAGTTTTGGCCAGTGTCATTGAAAAGTGGTCAACAATTCATTTATAGCTAATCAAGGAGAAGATTTTAGACCGTTATATTTTATATTCGAATATCGCATAAAGTGAGCAATCTCTTGAATATTGAAGTCAAAATCTGAATTTCATCAAGTTTTCCAATGTGTAAGAGAGCTTTGATTTTTTCATGAAATGTCCCTTTAGTGGTAGATAAAAACCTACTTCAGAATACAATTCATCATAATTTTTTTCTATAGGATGAAATACATATCAATTTTGACGGCAATTTTGGTTGATCTCAAACTATTTCTGTTGCAATACTGGGCGATTTCGCCCAATTCAATCAAAGATTGGTTTGTTGTCATTTAATGTGTTCTTTACTATCTTTGCAGATCGGTTTGTCCACGTAACTCGTAACTTCAAGGACCAAGAGTTTGAAGTGATCATTTTAAAAATTCATAATCGCTAGCTTGTAGAGTGGAATCTAAAGTGTAGGGAAATCTATTTTATTTCGTTAATCAATGCTTCAAATTGTATTTTGTAATTAGTAATTTAGATGCCAGTAATATATGAAAAAACTTCCTGTCTAGATCATTAACTAGTTTGGCTTACATAACAGAACTAAATCTTTCTTAATAGATGCATCTTTCGGTAAAATAGTTGATTTTATATCGGCGCGGCCACGCCTGATGGAATTTCATTTTTTCAGATTGCAACCTGTGAAATTGCTTAGCAATACAAGCAAACTATGTGAAATTATTTTCATAAATACAGCTTACTTAGATCTATTATCAGCAAAAACTTCACCAATTTCTCTTCAACCGCAGCAGAGTTATTCAAAAAATAGTGACCGTTAAGGAATTTCTAAACATAGAAATTCTTTTTAGGAGCCAGTCCATGTCAGCCACGGCCGAAGTTGTTCAATCGATATCACCAGAACTTGCTGAATTTAAGAAATGTTATAGAGGGAAGAGTTTTATGATTTTTGACGCAAGCCGATTCAAAAAATATTGAACCCTCGATTTTTTATGAGCATTTTACGAAAAGGCCTAAAAATGACCATATATATAAATAGGCGTCCTAATGCAACGATATCTTACGAATGGCTCAACCAAATGAGCTGAAATTTTTAATTGCCACATATCTCAGTGAATTCTATTTACCATAAAATTTTCGTTTTAAAATATTGAGCCATTTGGATTTTATGAACCACTCAAGATATGAAAAAAGGTCCATTTATGGTAACTTTGGCACTTCATAACGTTTGATAGGAATGATATATGACTCTCAAATTTTTACTATTAATAGGACACTGAGAGATGTATCTCTTCTGAAAATTTCAGATATC